TCGGACACTTACTCAATGGCTTGATATCCGACCACGTCGTACCCCATGTCCTTCTGCGGACTGGCAAAAATAGGCGACACCCAGACGACGTCGACGCCGAGGTCGCTGAGGTAGTCGACCTTGGAGATCAGCCCCTCAAGGTCGCCCCAGCCATCACCGTTTGCGTCTTTGAAGCTTGCGGGGTACACCTGGTAGAAGACGGCATCCTTCCAGTACGGCTGCTTGCCGACGTAGCGATTCTCGTCGTCCCAGATGAGAGAGCCCATGGTGCGTTTGGTGAGGAGCAGACGGCGTTGGAGACTAGACAGTGAGAGGAGGCAGAAAAGGAGCTCACTCGAGTGAAAGCTAGCCGGGAGGAAACATGGACTTTTGACCAACGTCATGAAATCCGATCGGCGTGGTGACAGTAGTTGCAGGGCGGGTCGCGTGGAGATAGGCGGGCATGGTGGGCGGGTGGGCGAACATGGCCACGCGAGCGCGGAGACTCCTCCGGCCAACTCCGGACGAAGAGGAGGCTAGCGGTGTGCCCTTTCCAATTCATGTGAATATGTTTCTTCTCGCAGACTCTGTGACGACGAGGCGTAAAAAATGCCCCTTGTGCGGCGTCCTTTGTGGTACTTGCAGAACAAACAAAACGACAGACTCCGACGCCCGAGGACCGAAGGCGGGAGACGGCGGAGTCTCCGCGCGCCAAGCATCACCTAAAGGCATCAAATACATTGGACTCCGCCCTGCAGCGGCGAGACGCGGAGTGGCGTCCCCTCGAGGTGCCAATGTGCCGAGTCATGCCCGGGGGCTCGGTCCCACCACCTGATCGCCCGCGTTTCCCTGCTTTCTCCCCTCGATTCGGCTCACAGCAAATTCTCACGTCTGTCATGGCATTGGTTCTCCCCCCCCCCCTTGTCTGACAGTCAACGTGGGTTCATGGCCTTTCCCCAGGCTTCTCCACAGTATTCTTCTTCCCTCCGCCTCCCCACCCAAGCTCCCAGCTCGCAACCCATGGGACCGGGCTCACTCGTTGGGACAACATAAGTCACAGACCAGACAATCTTCTCCTTAGCGCCGAGGGGATGCATGCACTCTGGGGATAAAAAGGACATTGATGCCCACGTCTCATCGTACATCGCCACTACCACCTCTCAACCCGCATCTCATCCCCTACCTTTACCCACTGCTGCTCTCTGTCGACTTGACTTGATAGCATGGCCGACCAAAAGCCCATAAGCGAGTCGTTCTTCAAGGACAAGGAGATGGCTACCACTCACGAGGAGGCGGCCGTTGCGCCGGGGGCCATCGCCTCCGAGGCCAAGCAGGCGGCTGATGCCGAGCAAAACATGACCGTCTTGCAGGCCATCAAGGCATATCCCAAGGCCATCGCCTGGTCTGTTCTGTTGTCGAGCACCCTCATCATGGAGGGCTACGATCTTGCGCTGCTCGGAAACCTCTACGGTATGTTGGAGTCTGTCTATCCCCTTTATAGAGCCTGTCTGACCACCCCCCTGTAGGCAACTCGCACTTTAACAAGTACTTTGGCGAATTCCACGAGGCCAGCGGCAAATACGTCATCTCTGCCGCCTGGCAGTCGGGCCTCTCCAACGGTGCCCGCGCCGGTGAGGTCTTTGGCCTCATCATTGCCGGCTGGATGACCGATCGCTGGGGCTACCGCTACACCACCATGGCCAACCTCGTGGCCATGATCGGCTTCATCTTTATCCTCTTCTTCGCGCCCAACGTCCAAGTTCTCGTCGTCGGCCAGATTCTCTGCGGTATTCCCTGGGGCGCCTTCCAGTCCGTGACACCGGCCTATGCCAGCGAGGTGGCGCCGGTCATTCTGCGGCCGTTCTGCACGACCTTTATCAACGCTTGCTGGGTACGTTATGACGCTTGCCGGGACATCTCCTCGTGAAACAGGCTGCTGACAATTCCCAGGTCATCGGTCAGCTGCTCAGCTCCGGCATTTGCCGCGCAACCATCAACAGGCCAGACAACTGGAGCTGGCGCATCCCGTACGCCGTCCAGTGGGTTTGGCCTATCCCCATTCTCATTGGCCTGATCTTTGCTCCCGAGTAAGTCCGGTGGTCCGACCCTTGCGTGAGCGACGTGACTGACATGTCCCCCCAAAAAGATCACCATGGTGGCTCGTCCGTCACAACAGGAGAGAAGAGGCCCGCCACTCTCTTGTGCGCCTCACGAAGCGCGATCAGCCCAGTGTCAACGTCGAAAACACGCTCGCCATGATCGAGTACACCAACGCCCGCGAGGCCGAGCTCAGCGAGGGCACATCGTACCGCGACTGCTTCCGGGGCACTGATCTCCGCCGCACAGAAATTGTCGTGATTCTCTGGATCGTTCAGACGCTGGGAGGACAGAACATAATGGGTTATTTTTCATTCTTTATGGTGCAGGCTGGCTTAGATCCTTCGAATTCGCTTTCGTTGTCGATCGCCAACTCGGGGTTGGGCCTCGTGGGAGTTTTCTGCAGCTGGATATTGATGTCTTACGTGGGGCGGAGAAAGATCCACTTCACAGGACTCACGTGCCAGCTGCTCATCTTGGTCATTGTTGGCTCTCTTCACTTTGCAGGGAACCAGGCCTCTCTGTGGGCAACCGCCGGATGCCTCATTCTCTTCACCTTTGTGTACGACCTGACAGTCGGTCCCGTTACTTACTCGCTCATCTCGGAGCTGTCCTCAACGCGCCTCAAGACCAAGACCATCGTCCTGGCGCGCGCGGCCTACAACACATCCAATATCTTCGTCAACGTCATGACCAACTACCAGCTCTCCACGGCTGCCTGGAACTGGGGATCGAGGACTGCTTATTTCTGGGCCGGCACCTGCTTCTTCTGCGTCATCTGGGTCTATTTCCGTCTGCCAGAGCCCAGAGGGCGCACGTATGCGGAGCTGGATATGCTGTTTGAAGAGGGCGTGTCGGCGAGGAAATTCGCCAAGACGAAGGTGGACGCTTATACCGAAAGCACCCCGCTTGAGAAGAAATCATCGGAGGGTGCTTATTGAAGAGGCAGTGAAAGAGGACTTGTCAAGTCATGACGCATCTGAAATCGAACTTACGTTCTGCGAGGTTTTTGTACCATGATCCACGTTGGTCATTTGAGGTCATCGTGAATGGGCACTCCACTCACTGCTACATGGTCTCGGACGCTCTGTCACGATCCAAATATGTTACCATGTCGGAAAACGCCCCACACTTATTTGTGCTGTGGGCCAGAGGGAATCTTTTACGATTGACTCAATAATCTTGAGTTTAGTGCAGCATAAATTGGTAAGTGAACCACGATTCTACCTTACCTAGGTAGTTTACATCGCGCTACATGAATGATCAATACCATGGTATCTCAAGACATGAAACAGAATCTGGATATCGTTACCTTATCAGTGCGCGGTGATGCCGCTTGGATAGAAAGAGGTTCGGGATGTTGCATATCTAAGATTGTGGGTGTGATTGTAGTCGCGCAGCCCAGAAAATCACCACTTGACGTTTACTCTTGACATACCTGATCTTCGCCTCTCTCGTTCGTTCAATGTGTGGAGGTAAATCCATTTTGCAGCCTTGATAATTGTAACCACTGGTTCTGTCTGACTACTGATCGGGAGTCATCATGTTATTACCTGTAATAACGTTGTGGTCGAGGCTTTCCACGTTGTCCGCTGAATCTGAGCAAGGAACTCAGAAACTTTTCACTTTGCTGCAAGCAAACATAATACGAGTGATTCGCCCCAGGTTACTTCGGTGTCTATGGTTCGCCTAGGCGGAGTAGACCTTACCGTACAGATCACAGCGACTCTAATCCATAGAGTCTGATGGATGACAGCGGTGTCTGGCCGTCTAGGGCGTAGTGTTTGGGTCATATTTTGAGGTCAAGCACATGACAAGTGGTTAACTAGAAGGCTGTCTGTCACCAAGACCAAAGTGGTGTGGAAAAGCTAGCTATCAGAGGAGGGAAACCTAGGTGCAAACACTAATAGCGCCTCCCTTCTGTTTCTCTCAATTCAAACTCTGCCTTATTCACAAGAATATCTGGCTCATCCGGGCATCAAATAAGATACCTCCGTTTCTGGTCCCATTCTTTCTTCCTTCCCATTCCCTTCTCCATCCCGACTTCCGCCAGGCGCTGGCAAATGATTTCTCAACCCAACCTCTCTGCTACATCTCGCAATTCGAAACGGATTATTTATTCTTTAAGTTTAAAGTATTCATCGTACCAATTTCTCTGAGTTTTCTTTCTTGAGTTTCAATGGCCTCCCGGTGCACTTTACCGCTTGATACCTGCACTTGCGGCCAAGGTTTCTACTTTATACAACTCTTGTAATGTTTCTGCTCTTTCCAGCTTTTAGGCCTTGCGACCGTTGCATCCTAATTGTACTCATGTTCTCGAGAGGCTATCCTCAATTTCACCATGTATCTCCGCTTGTATTACTGACCATTCGGCCTGCTTTTCTCTGTATCACGGAAGCGCCAATTGGCGACTTTTGCGACAAGCCCCCGGGCTATGCTCATTGTTGTTGATCTATGTCCGTGTTATCAAATCTTATACTGACCTGTTAACCCGAAACAATATCATGAACACCAGGACCTGCTATAGCAGCATCGCATCAGCATCAACATTAGCAGAATCCGCAACAGCAATACCCACAACATCACCACCATTATCATCACCATGTAAGTCAGGCTGTGCATATCGGCAATGACCATCCCAATGGCGACATGTATCAGTTAATCCACACAAAACAATGGATTGCGACAGCAAGAACGACGATACAGGCGGCTCCGAGACGAAAATTGTTAGTGGTCGCGGCGGCGGCAGTCGTGGTAGACGAGGAGGGGGAGTAGAAGACCGATAAGGCCGCGGAGGCGGTGGTGATCGAGGAGGCTGCGGCGGCGGCTTCCGTGGCACCTTGTGCACGGGGGCGACGTTCCTTTGAGGCCTGATTTGCAGCCAGTGCATGTCATCGGAGCTAGAGTCAAAGCTTGGTTTTGCTTTGGACCGTCCTCACTCAAGTGAGGGTACACGTTGATGGATGATTCCCTTGAGGACAGGTATGGGACTGGTAAGCACTTTGATAAAGTGAAGACGTGGAAAGCTCTCGCTTCGTGCCACATACTCCACGAAAACCAGGTATATCAGCGAGGTTCGATCCATGTCAGGTCGCATAGAGACACACGGCACACGAACAGCTCGCTGG